AAAAAGACAGCAGGTGACAGCAAAGGTGTCACCTATTTCCTGACTGCACAACTTAATGCACATCTTTTCTACAGCAATATCTGAATTGCTTGGGGATTTTGTACAGAAAACAGGTCTGGTCATCCCAAATGATCCCATCYCCAGGCAAACTGGGGACTCTCCACTGCAGCACTGTCATCAGTAGGAAAAAAATCGCCTAATTTCAACTGCCTTTGGATCAGGGCTTCACTTCAGAGAGTTGCTGGTTCCCTGACTTTATGACAGGGAGGGACTTTTAGACAGGGGGGACTTTATGATCAATCCAGTGTTGGAACTTTCCAGACCTAAAATGTTACTTTGAGTGAGTGAGGCTTGGATGGAAGTTTTTGAGAGCAAGGGGCTGAGAGGGTTCAATGCATCCCAAAACCAAAACAATGCCAGAAAATCAAGAAGAAAAAAAAGATGCAAAAGGCAGGAGAATCTCCCCCAAAAGATTTCTAAAGGTTGGGTTATTGGGCTGCAGAGGCTCGCTGAAGTTTTGCCTAAGGGGAATGCATTTTTTTTATCAAGGAAATCACTTTCTAAACGCAGAGCACTTCTAACTCCATAAGCGAACAAATGTTTCAGTTCCTACTGAGAACTTGAGAGGGCAGCGGAATGTGGCCCCGTGTCTCCGTGCTCCCGAGCTCCCTGGTGCCTCTCACCAGCTCCTTCCACTGGGGATTTCTCTCTCTCTYTCTGTCCCGCTCCTGCGCTGGGATTTGGCCACACTTCCACCACCAGACTCCTCATCTGAAACTTGATCCTGCTGTCTTTGGGCCTCTGAATTTATACAACCTATTGCACAGAATGATCAGACGCCTTGAATCTAGGTCAGAACACACTGACTGGATTGATTTAGCTATAGATAGGCTCTTTTTAAACAAAAAAAAAAAAATTATTTTCCCTTCCCTCTCCCCCTTTTCACCCTCCCGCCTTTCCTGGAATAAAAGCAGACCCTAAAAACAAGCCAGAACATTATCAAAAACCCTGACAGCTCGCTTAGGAGGCTGAGCAGAGGTTTGCTGGGATATGCAACTTGTTTTACTATTGCTGCCTCTCTGGTATGACAACTGCTCACAACTTTGAATTCACAAAGGAAGGAAAAAAAAAATATTCTTTCAGGGGTTTTGCTAAATTCTCCCCTCTTCTTTTCACTGCCTCGCTGAAAGGATCCATGAAGCTGCCGCACCAGAGGCCATGAAAGGTCACAATCTCAGTGGGATGCTGCAAAGCAGAGACTGAGAGGGGTTGGTGGTGATCTATTGATGTGTCTGTAATAACAACAAGAATAAAACGGTAGCCATAAACCTTTCATCCTGGGGGGTCCCACAGAGCTTTTCAGGACGGGGGCCGGATCCAGAGAGGTGCTGAGGGCCCCTGCCCAGCCATAAAAGCAGCGCAGATGCTGATGGCCGTGGCCCTGCAGCCCTGGGCTGAGCACCTGGCAGGATCCRGYCCCTGCAGGGCACAGGCATCACTCTGTGTCCCCACAGTCCCTTCCCTGGGAGGTCCCCGTGGCACTTTGGCAGCACAAAGTGGCTCAGAGCACACTGCTGTGTGAGTGATGCCGGGCTGGGGAATGCACAGGGAGCGAACTGGCCCCAATTCCAAAACCCGGCATAAAGAGGGGAGGAGAAAGGAAGAGGAAATAATTCACTAACAGCATCCCGTGCGGGTTAAATGTCCCATCCATCCTGATCAATGAGAACACTGCCGGTTTTTGAGCCGTGACACAAAGGGGTCAGCAGGGTTCAGCTGCTGTGGCCCTCCTGCCTCCTCCCAGTGGGGGACAGGCCCAGGGAAGCGGGGCTGACACGCTCACCTCTGCTCCGCGGGGCTGTAGGTCTGTCCTCGCTGGCAGCTGCTGATGGTGATGGGGTCGAAGTTGTGGAAGGAACGCAGGGCCACCCCGGAGATGGCCACAAACTGGGAGCTGAAGCTAATGAGGACAGCCTGGGTGTGATAAAAAGGGTGACTGAGGTCATGGATGACGGGGATAATCAGGGGATTGTTCCTGCAGCTCAGGACGTGGACACCTGCCAGAGGAGAGACAAGATCAGAGGAAGGGTCAGGCTTAACACAATTGCTTCCCGAAGCCGTGGGCACTTCAGAGGCATTTCACCCACAGGAACGGCCCTATAGAGCTGAAAAGTTATGGTAAGCTGCCTGGAGGGGCTTCCCAAATCGCTCCGGAGAGCTTAGCAGAGAAGCAGATCCCTCCAGACAGCTGAAGAAAGGCTGCCATTCTCTCTGCGAGCACAGCAACCCCTCGGAGCCGCTTCTTTAGACCGCAGCCACGTTACTATTGTGCTCTGCTRAATCAGGAGCAAGCAGCACGGGGGAAGCGGAGTCACACTATTGTCAAACGGGTCCTGGAGGACAGTYGGAGCCTTTATGGGCAGCATCAAAYGGGGCCGGCAGGCTGGGGGGCTTTGTGCACCGGGGCCAGGGCACCGCGGGCTCGTTTGGAGCTGTGCATGTCATTAGAGCTCCGTGCAAAACTTGTTTGTAGGAGTTTCTGCTAAATGTGCCCGGATTTGATTTTTTTTGTATATAGTTTTGAGCCTTAGGGTATTTTGTTCTTTGCTAAAAAAGGCAGYTTTGGTCCTGGAGGTAGAAATGAGGGTGATGGAGCCGCTGAGGACTTTAAAGGTGATCCCACTGGAGAAGAAAATAATTGTGTCTTGAGGAAATAAAAACATCTCAAGGTTGAGGTGCACAGAAGCACCAGAGAGGTGGCAAGGAGGGCTCTTAATTCCCTTTCTCCAGTGGAGAAGGCATCCAGTGACAGCTGGGAAGAGATTCCCACCTTCATGTAGAAGCAGCCTGAATTCAAATGGGCCAAACCCATCTCAGGGGTAAGGCACAGGACAGACAGCTGTCGGCTGCCCTCAAAATCCATTAATTGAGATTCATGGCCTGCTGGCTGCCTGCAAGGCTCTGCCTCCCCAGCTCCATGGCATCACTCCGAGGATCAGCTTGGCTCCAGACCCATTTGCTTCGCTGGAGCTCCCCCAGCAATGGCTTTGGCCCAGGCCCCTTGGCTACCCTGATACACTTACAAATTCGAAAATAAAATAAATTCTATTTGCATGTTTAACTGGCCCAGGGATTTCTGTTATTATTTTTTTTTCCCCCAGTTCGGATTTCTTGACTCAAAAGGGAAAGAATAAAAAGGCTTTCATTTTTTTTTCCTTAGAAAGTGATTTCCTGTGAATTAAGACATGCTCTTTAAACATCCATCTTCCACCCTCTACTTTAAAAAAAAAAAATCTTCCTGTAATAAAAAAAATAAAATAAAAAAGCAAACTCCTTTTTGTTTTGGTCTTCACCTGACCCTGAAATAACCTCCCTGTCTACTTGCCTCCCACAGGTCTTTTGATATCAGCTCCTTGTGGAACGGTGCACGTTTCTCACTCACAAACAGGTGCAGTTAATACTCAGAATCCYGGGTTCCCAAATTCCTTGGAAGTTTCTGCCTTCTCTGATGGAAAGCCAAGAAAGATCTTATGGTATGAGGCTGTTTATTCACTTCCATTTCATTCCCTGCACTCAGGTGGTGTCCACAGCWGAACAGACCCTCAGAGCTGTGCTGCACTTGCTGGTTATCTCTGATCCTGACCAGGTAAATGGTGGCTGGACAGGTCARAATTATTTAATTCTCCTGCCTTAACCCATGAAGAAGGCACAGGTGCCCGTGGGGGCAGTCAGAGCTGTCTCAGGATCACCCCTGTTTCTGTAACTCTTCTATTTGATGCTCAGCAGCTGAACCCTGGAGTTGATGATGGTTCTGAACCAACAGCCCTGAGGTGTTTTGCATCCCAACCTCTCCATCCCCTATCAGGACTTAGAAGAAGCTTCACATTATTTTCTGGGAGTCACTTGCTCTGATGAAGGTGGGAAACTGCATRTCTGGATTTGCTCACGGCAGTGTCTTCAGCACACTGAGGACTGATTGAACTTTAAATCATTGCTACTTTCCTTTTGGATGCACTTTTAGTTTGCCACKAACTCCTGCTCGAGGCTCACCGAGTCCTCAGTCACTCACTCCTGCACCCGGTGCACGGCAACATTTGCATCTCAGCTGCATTTCCCAGCCACAGTGATGGTTCAAACACATGAAATACAATATCCAGGAAAAAAGCTTCATGTCACTGTCAGAACTCAGACAGAACAGCAATGGGGTGCCCTGCCTGAGTGAGAGCTGCYGGGGAGCCCACCTACACCTCTCCCCTGCTCCAGGCAGCCTCTTCTCAAAGGTCAAAGGGGCTTCTCCATGATGAAAGCAGAATTTCAGCTGGGAGGATGTCCAGACATCAGGCTGAGCCATGCCAAACCTGTGTTGCAACCTCATTGAAGATTTCAAAACCTAACCCTCAGTTTCCTCTTTGCTCCTCTTTCTTGTTCTTGTTCTCTCCCAGCCTGCCTGTCTGTCCTATAAAATGTCACATTAAGTACTGCTGGCATGCTCGTGTCTCCATCATTAATTTCTCAGAGGGATAGAGCTATGTGCCACTGTTTTGCAAAAGGAGAGGAAGATTAATCCAAGGGCTCTGGCAAACTGGGAGCCATCCTGACTCAACCTGCACAACTTGCTACAAGTTTCAGTTTGTTCTTGGACAACAGGCACCGCACATATTTCCTTTTTTTTTTTTTTCTCCACACCCCACCAAAATCTGTATTATCCTGGGTGCTCATCCAACACCTGTCCCTGTGTGTCCTTTTTGCTTCTCATCAGTAGTAASAAGCTCGTTTGAGTTTCAGCTTGTTAAAATTGAAAAGTTACAGTAAATAGAAAGTTGGGGGATGKGAGTTATGTTTCCTTAAAATCTGCTCTCGAGGTGACCTGGCCAGCTTTCTTCCCAGTGAGAAAAAGGAAGGGAACGTCTAGAAAGGGATTATACATGTTCTACCCTGACACAGGAGCTATGGAGAGCTCCTTTCCTGGAGCTCAAACGCAGCCYGGATGGATTCAGCAGACACACCTTCCCCAGCGGAGAGCCCAGGGCCAAGGGCACAGACAGAACGGGTCTGTCCTGGCACTGCAGCACAAGGGCAGCTCCTGCCCCTGCCAGCACATCTGCCTGAGGCCATGCCAGGAGCCTGGCAAAGGCCTGGGGTTGGACCTTCACCCCCTGAAATACTTCACTGAGGAATGTTGGCATTAAACAACTCTGGAGATCTCCCTGTGAGCAGGGATAGAGATCACCCAGTGCACCCTGTGAAACAGAAGCCTTTGCTGCAGCAGAAGGTCCCTCACTCCCTGCTCCCAGGAGTTCATCTGTAGTACCGTCAGTGTCTCTCAGGGCAGTTCTGGGTGTGAAGTGCTGAGATAATGCTGATTTTAGTGACTGAGGAGGAGTTAATCGCTTCTGATCAAATAGTGAACAGCTACKGAGAAATGTCTGCATAAAATTACACATAATTGTCAACAAACTCYAGTGAGACTCAGGGCTTGGAGCATTGAGCAAACACCTTTTTTTTGTCCAATTCCAAAAAACCTGAGCAGGAGTACTGCTGAGGGGGGGGCCACACCAGATTGAGCAAGCAATAAAGAGGGAGTTTAATAAAACACGGTCTTACCAAGGTCGTGGCTTTGCTCTTTGGTGTCAAACAGCTGCACACCGATGGTCTCCTGCTTCTGRTCCAGGTAATAGGTCCCGTCAGTGACCAAGTGAACTAGGACTGCTGCAGCCACCATAGGCTGGGAAAAATAAGCCTGGGAAAACAAAAACCCCCACAAAGCCTGAGGTGAAGAACTGTGGTGGGCTTTAAAAAATCCCCAGGAGTCAGTCCAGAACTTTTAAAAAGAAGAATTCCCATCCCAGGTCACACAGAAATCTTCTCTTCCAGTCTCTACTCCACAAAGCAGATAAACTCAAGGCAAACAGCCCTGGAGCTGAACCCTCTCAGAAATTCAATAGCCTTGTCACACACGAGGGGACTTCACTATTGACTCCCTAGACACTGCTCAAAGACATTGTTTTGCTCTTTTGCTCTAAACACATTCCAGAAAGGCAGGAAGGTTCTCCCACGACATTTTGCCTGTTGAAGAAACCTTGTAGAGAGGCAGGGAAAGAGAAAAATTTCTGAATGCTGTGTGCATTTCCTACCTTCAGCCAGAAAATGGTCTGTGTCATGTGGGAGTACTGGAAGTTGGCTGTGCAGGGATACCAGGCGTACTGGGAGACTCCATCGTTCAAATCAATCACCTTGGTTCGACACATCTGGAAAAAAGAAACACCGAAACTGACGTGGATGACAGCAAGGAAGGATTCTGACTGCTTAAAGTGGGGAAACAAAATCCAGGTGCACTGCTGGAATGAAGTAATGCACAATAACAGTGCTTCTGAATACCCTGAGATTGKTCAAAAGTCAAGTTTTCTGGTTTTCCACCTCAGTAAGAAAAGCTGAAGCATGAAGAGGAGCTGAAGAGTCATAGCAGCCAACAATCTCCTCTGGGTTTGGTACCAGGATTTTGACAACATTTGGAACAACTCTGCTCCCACCCAGATGGGCCAGGAGTCTTCCCACTGTAGTCCAAGTGAGGATCACTTCTGAACATCCCAGCTCCCAGCACAGACACTCTGGAGCTACCTCCACGGTACTCCAGCACTGCTCTGTTTAAACCTGATGTTTGTGTAACCCCAGGGGAGCCACAGGTGACTGCAAACTTGAAACCAGTTATGGCCAGGGAAATCCTGCCTCTCCAACACAATTTAAGCAAACTGGTTTCCTCTTTCACCAACCAGGTCTGCAAGTGGAATCACCTTCTTCCTACACCTGTAGCATTTCCATGGCAGGCAGCAGTGACACTGAGGCAAACTGCTCTCTTCAGTAAAGAACAGATGAATTCCAAGAGCTGTCATGGGTGAAAAGCTCAAAAAAAAAAGGCCAGAATCTAATGCAGTGCCATCAGGATGTCAGATGTGAAAATGAAGATGTGAGAAATGGTAGGATTTACCCTGAAAACACACTGCTCAGTGAAGCTGCTTCAAAATAAAAACATGCACAACCACAGCTTTCACCTTCCCAGMAAATAGAAGAAAGGAAATGTCCAAGGAAATTTCCAAGGAAAAAGTTACTACTGCATTAGAAGGATACTGGAGGCTCCTGGAGCATCTGAAAAGTACCTTTTGCATTCACAACCCTTTGATGAACCCACTGACTGTCATTACCATAGGAACAGAGGGAATTCCTTCTGCTGATGTGCTGTCAGTAAAGCTGTTCCCATCACCAATCTGATTATTAAACCGAAAAGGAAACCCCTGAAGTGAAATAAGAGAATTAAMAGAGATGCTTTTGGCCATTCAAAATCCTATGCCCACTCTATAATTCTGCATGGAAATGCCTTCTTGGTCGTAGCAGGCAAAGCCTGGGCACTGCAAAGAGAGCCTGGGATGCCTGGGAGTGAGAAACCAGATTGGCTAGAAGTGAGGTAATCCCCTTTAAAATCCAAGTCCCTCAAGATCCAGCACAGAGGAATCTATGGGCAAAACATAAATCAGCTTTAATRGGCTGGAAGAAGATTTTTAGTTTATTTATTTTTTGAAACAACTGGGACCAAACTTCATTGAGGCTAGCCAGTGGATAGTGTTACATTTTACAGCAGAGCAAGGCTTTACATAAACTATCTTTGGCATTTGAAATCCAGGCCAGCAATTYGACATGTACCGTTTCGCAACTCTCCCTTCTTGCGTTTTCAGCAGCCTGTCTCTGGTTGGGAGCATGGTTTTTATTTTAATACCTCTCCAGCTAGGGAATTTATCTTACCCACATCTGCAATTTATATGGTCAGAGAGCTCTCTGACATGAACAAAGGTCTCATTACTTTTATATTACTTTGTTCTTATTCGTATTTCTCCTCCTGCTCTCCTGGTCCAAAAAGGTGGCTGAAAGAAACACAAGCACTGATGGTCGGTGCTTTTTAAGTGCCACTTAATGGATGAGTGAAAACCTGTATTAAGAAATCACCCAGACCTTCACCAAAAGTTTGAATCTAACCCAAAACAAACCCCTGCTGAGGTGGGCTGGAAATCTCTGATAACTTTTAAATGCCTTGTTTGATTTGTGTGCGTGTGTGAACCCCAGCACTCTGTGCTTCTGCCGGAGAATATTAGCAAAAATCTGAGCGTTGCATAAAGAGCCTGTGTTCAGGCCACGTGGGCTGTCGGACTGGCCTGGTTTGAACAGGTTAGATAAGCTTCCCCCTGCTGAGGGTGATCCATTGCTACCCAGACAAGGGTTTCAAAGKGGTCCTGGGCTAAAAGGTTCTTTTGGAAGAGACTAATTGAGAATTGTGAGAAAAGTCCTACAGAGATGAATAACCAAGAGCCTCTTCTCCACCAGCTGCTGGCCAGTAAACTTAGCTAATGGCAAAAGAAAGTTCTTTAAGATTCTGTAAARCCTSGAYTGGAGGAACAGCCCCTGTCACCTAYAGACTCCATCACCTCACCTGGCTCTAACTCACACAGTAAATCCAYCCCGTTCCAATCCTGCCCAGGCTCTGAGTGTCACATCACACCTGCCAAGCCTGAGGAGAGTCCTTCACACTTGCTTTTAAGGCATCCCCAGAATGTGGCAGCAGCCCAAAGGCCCTATTATTTAGGGATTCAATGGACTGAACGATCTTAGAGGTCTTTTCTAACCAGAATGATTCTGATACTTCAGCACCGACACTTTTAAGCTACAAGTTCCAAAGGCCTGAGAGACAGAATATCATCTCTCCTCATGGCTGCTCACAGGAATTCACACTTAGGAGAAACAGATTATAGCCTAAGGTCCTCCAGTTTGCTACAAGTGATGCAAACCAGCAGCTAAAGCACCTGACAGCTGCAGAGGGAAGAACACATAGATAGACTTCTCATTTCAGGGTGTTACCAAACACTGAAGTATTCGCTTTGAAGAGTGACAGCATCACACAGCGCTCCAAACTTTACTCACTGGGGCTTATCCAGATTCTCAGACCCACACAGCAACTGGGATATCCACGGGAGCTTAGTCTGTGCTCCAAAGTATGCAGCGACTATTTGTGTGCAGTTACTGGAAGCCCATGTCATCCCCCGCCCGAGGAAGCTGCTTTCAATTAAACGAGCTGATGTCTGTTCCTCTCGGAGGTTCAAATCCAGCTCGTCTCCCACCCACACATTTCGTACACAAACATCGGCAGACACAACGATCAAGGCCAGAGAGCACTGTGGGATCTTCCCACATGAGGGAATGCCTGGAGGATTCCCTTTGACTGATTTATACAACCTCTTGTCAATCAAAGGCACAACATGTTCTTCAAGCCGCCTCTCCTGTTTTCCTTCCCTTACTCAGGGGGACGGAGGAATGTGTCAGCAGAAAGGGAAAAGTGATATATTGGGAGCACTTAGCTTTTTGCCACATCAAAAACACATTTACTATTGCAATCAACTCCATTTCCTTCAAAGTAATATGGGAAAATTTGCTGAAGAGCAAATTTTGGAAGGCGCCCTTGTGAATGATTCCCAGCCATCCCGTGACTTCAGGCRATGCGAATTTGCGTTGATGGGTTCCTGTTGCAGCTGAAGCGCAGGTTAGGGATCACAAATCCTCCAGACCGGGTACCAGATGTGGYCCCAGCCCAACTGTGCCCAGTGCAYGGCCCCAGTACCACCTTCTGAGGAGCACTGGGCTTCTCCAGTCCTGAGTTCCCTGATGTTTCCCCACATCACTCAGGTGTGTTGAGGATAGAAGCCACGAGGCACAAAAAGGTGCTCAGATGTTTCYGAGAGCACACACAGGTGTGAGAACAGCTCCCTGCAGGAGTGGGGTGAACACAGACGCCATCCCACTCCCACTCCCCACCGAGCAAGCAGTCAGACACCTCAGGCTTTGCTCTGGGCGTTGTATCATCAAAATAATTCTAGATGCAGACAGAGAAGCTGCTATTTAAGCTCGGACTCTGCCCTTCTGAGCTCTGGCACCGCGGTTGGAGCCGGCGTGCCTGTCTGCTTGCCCGGGGGCGGCTGGAAGCAGAGCAAACCTCCAGTGCACAGATCTGTCTGCTCCCAAAATCCCATCTGGTGTCCCATGGCGGGGCTTCCTCCAGACCATGCCTCTGAGCTCCGTCTGGCCACCAAGGGCCATCGTGGGCACTTGGTCAGGCAGTGGGGAGCATCTTCCATCTGGAGAGGAGGGTGAGGTGGAGATTGTGCTCCAAATGCTGCCTCTGCCCGCTCTGTTCTGCTGGGGATGGTGCTGCTGACACTGCTGCACCCAGGCAGTCAGCACGGCGTGTTTCTGGGGTGAAGGGGGCTCTACCCTGTCCCGYTGGCAAAGCAGCAGCCTTGGAGCAGGCAGGAACAGGATCTTCTGGTRAAACCCACAGCAGCAGACATTTGTRRAGCACAAAACATCCTGAGYGAGGCTGCACAAGTGCACAGAAAATCCCATGGACTGATACAAAACCCACGGAGGSACAAACAGAACATCTCATATTGTTTGAAGATCCAGCTAAAGAACAGATTTCAACCATAATACAAAAACCAAATTAATCCACAATATTGAGCTGACTGTTCTGCAAAATGCTATTTCTATTTAACTCAGCACATGCCAGAGGATCCTAACCATGACATAAGCAGCATTTTAAYACATCCCTTACAGATGAAAACTTTCTCCCTTCCTTTGCAGACYAGGGGGCTGGCAGTCACCCAGTCCTTTTATTTGGAAATACGTTATTGTTCTTGCCGAGCTAAGGTTAATCCTACCCAAGGATGAGGAACGATGGTGCAGTTGCTAAATATCAGAAAGGTTCCTGCTTGTTTATTGCCCAATATTGTAAGGCAGCTTGACTGCCACATGGACACCACCCAGTTTGCCGACTGCAGCACAGACCTCCAATCTGTTCTGAAAGCTGTTGCACTGCTTTTCTCATTTAGGCTGGGAATTGGGTTGGAGTTAGGGAAAAAATGAAGTTGCCCACATTAGTGAGCACYGAACCATTTAAAAGGCCACCATTTGGGCTGCAATGAGCGCCTCCAAACCCAGCCAATATTTCTGACCCTGTCAAACCTCAGGAGCSCACAGAGCTCAGATGGAAATTGTATACACAGCGGCACAAGGAATTTTGCTCTGGGTTTTTTCCTACATTCTGGTGAGAAATGCTTTAGGATGAGTGTCTTTATCAGAGATGTGGATTTATCCCATCTGAAATCTGAGTCCAGAGTTGTCTGCCCAACTATRAAAGTCATCATTGGTCATT